TTGCCCAATAATTGTGCACCCATAGATATGCTCCTAAGAAAGCCAAAACCTCACTTTTTACTTTCTTAAATGTTCAGGTTTGAGGTTGATTAACATTTTGGATTGACTGAGAGCACTGTAGTTGTTCAGTAATGAAATTCATCCTCAAAAATACAACTTGCCTAATAATTGTGCATGCAGTGTATACAGTCCAGCTTCGGTTAAGCTCTCAAAGCAGAGAAATACTGATGTAACATTATCTCTCTTCTCTGAGAGCTTAAGGAAAATTATATATACTGGATTTATCAAGGGATACAGGCATTCCATAGAATGAAACATGAAAACTTTGTTTTTAACGCAACAATTTAAAGCTATGAAATGGAACACATTTTTTACAATTATGTTGATTTGGGTAATATTTATGCAAATGCAATCTATTTCAGATTGAACATTAAACTGCATTGATAATCCTATTATTCTACTTTTGGATATGTTCAGGTTTTTCTTTAATTTGTAACAGGATGCCTTGATATGTATTCTAGAAGTGTTTCTGTTTCTGTTAATATTTAAATTTCATATTCCGCTACTTCAAATTGCAAAGAGCATAAAAAGATAGGAGAGAATATGCTAAGTGGGGATAGAATGTCCGAAAAAAATCAAGTTCTAAAGAAAACATTTGTAATCTCTAAAACAAATCAAGCAAAAGAAGGAAGTTTACAATACAATTACAATAACCTTTCCTAAAAAGGAAACAGTCTTAGAGTTCAGATTACAGAAAACAGTCTAACTTTGTGGGTAATCCTAGAAGTTGTAATTAATAGTTTACTGAGAAAAGTATCTCTTATTTATACTTTTTGCAGATTAGAGAGATTTTTGCACAGTATGGCACTGTTTAAAACTGCATAATAAGATACATTAATAATGTTGCACCCATGAGATTAAACCTCTACAGTTTAGGTAAGATATCTTAAATTCTTAGATATATATTATAATTCCATTGAATTCTTCTTATTCAGAATACCAGAACTGCTCCTTGAAAATATCTATGTATGCACTTAAGTGTTTGTCAATGAATGCTCATAACCTACCTGTGGAATTTTATATAGACTGAAGATGTCTGACATTTTTGAGGAGGTATCAAAGTCAATTCCACCAATAACTCCTATTAGATTTTTCTGGATGCCACATTTATAATTGGGTACAAAATTCTGTGATTTAAAGACAAGACCTAAGGCAGTTCGGTAAATCATTCTGTCATTGGAATAGCTGTCATATATATGGAAGCCTAGAGTGACATTAGGTAAGATTTCAATATTTTGATTGATTTCCATGACGCCAAACACCAAGGCTAAGATATGCTGGTAGAACTTTGCCACCACCCTGCAAAGAAAAATTAGATGCTTTAATTCTGCAATATTTGAGAGTACTCTTCTGGGGGTGGCTGGCACCCTGATGACACTCTCCGAGCTACTCACCAATTCCACCCATTCTTGCAATCTATTTATTATTTAAGACTTCTTTTATATTGTATTTTAATTGAGTTTATCCTTTCTGTAAACAGCCCAGAACTGTTTTTTAATGAGATGGGTGGTGACAAATTTGATATAAATAAATAAATAAATAAATAAATCTTGAATATAGTTGTCCTTTAGTACATTTCTCACTTCCAGCACAAGAAATGAGAAGTGTGCATCACCGATCAATAAAATTTGCCCAAATAGAGAGATGATATAAATTAGTAATCACAGAGTTACCAAAAGTTACCTTGTGGTTCCCTGATTCCAGAAAGATTTCCCGGTGTAGAAAAATGATAGAGGAATAACAGGCCAAAAGCAGCAAATAAAATAGCAAGTTGTACAATTAAGAAGGTTTTACATTCACTGTTACCCAAGCACAGATGCGAACTCATAGAGTTCCCTTTTGTCTCCTATTGTATAACCTAAAAGTGATCAGCTGATCTTCATCAATCTTATCATGGAATGTTGTAACAGTTTAGAAGACAATTTAAGGTAATTGTCTTCTTGGGCAGTTCTTGGCCATGGAAGTTTCTGTTTTAACTCTTGCTATTTTTATCCATCAGACAGTCCTGGTCTTTGACATGTCATTGTTTTAGCCCATCCTAGCATGCTGTTTTATTTCCATGCACTTGTGGGTTCAAATGGACTCTCTGTACTTAGATTGTGCATGTTCAGCTAGCCCTTGATTTCTGTAGGTCCCAAGTACCCTTCCAACGTTATGTTGCCAAGACATGGAATCATCCAGAAAAATGAATGAATAAATGTCTCACTGGATATAAGGAAAAGAAGTCTTGGCTCAGTTTTACTGAAGTGTAAGCCAGATTTCTTTAAAGTGCTTCAGAAGTAAGAAAAAGCTGAGCCTCCAGCTGACCTGCAATTAAAATAGATCAAATAATGTGTAGTAGTATCATCAACATAGAAAGGGGAAGCTTTCTTGGGGCTACAACAAAATGAGAATGAGAGTGAAGATCCTTTAACCAAATGAGTAAGAAGCAAAGGCAGTATTTCTGATTAAATGTTATACAATGTGTGTGCAGATGAGGACTGGTTTCTCAATTAAAAATGAAAAGGTTACCCCACCATTCCTTTTCTAAAGTGAGCATGATCTCCATCCAAATTATTTATGTTAGGTTGAAGACAGCTGCCTCACAAAAAGCTAGTCTAAGGCATAATGTGTTCTGCACATTTAGAAGTTGCTGAGCATTCCAGGGAGGACACACACACACATATCCAGATGTACCCACACTTATGTTCCCATCCTGTCAAACAATCAAATGAATTATAGTCAAAGTAATCAGGAATGCAAACATACAAGATCCCTTTGCAGGGGAAAAATATAGGAATTCCTTACAGTGGAGAATCAACCCATTCCTGAGAAGGGTGTTCCTTGAAGGACATTGCCAGGAAAAGGTAGTTGATGTGACTTACAATCCCACCAATCAGAAGTTCAGCTGGCTGGTACCACTCATGGGTAATAGAAGCAGGATCATTTCCAGTACATGTCAAAGGGTGCATAATGTGAGTCTGGCATCAAGGACAGTGGCATGAAGTTGCTATTCTAGTGACTTCCCATATGTGTCACACTACAGAAATAGTGAAGAGACGAGCTGACTCAGCCAACACACTTCCAAAGAGACAAATGCCCTCCTACTACTTAACCTTAATTATTTACAGAATCACACCACAAATATTTGATCTATATGAGGGAAGATAGAAGGTATTCCATCAATGGAGTACAACTGGATTTTAATCTCTAATCTTAGTTCTTAACAGCACACCAGACTATATCCAACTATCTCAGAGATGTCTGGAGATTTGACATGATGAGTTAATTATAACCATTTTAATTGTTACAGGGAAATAGTAACTTTTGCAAAGGTTTGTGTTTTCTTGAGGCATCACTGGAAACAGTTACGGGGACCAGACGTGTTTGTTTGCACTTACACAGTCTCTTTTTTTCTTTTTTAAATATTTTTTATTGAAGGGGTTAACAATCCTAAAAGATAATACAATCTGAAATCAGAAAGAGATAATAAAATAGGAAGAAAAGAAATACAAAGTACAAAAAGAAAAGGAAAGAAAAGGAAGCAAGATTTTTTTAGGAAGAATATTTAAAGAAGTGACTCCTGATCTTCCTTGCAACAAGTGCAGGCAGATTTAATATTTCCCCACCCCCTATAAGATTATACATAATTCACTTCTTCCCATACCTGCCCATCCATTCACAAATCCAAAAATTGTCATTTCTATCCAAGTATTGGCAAAAAGTCTATAAAGGGTTTCCAGAATCTTATAGAAGTATTTCTTATTTTAACCCTGATCAAACAAGTCAACTTTGTATTCCTTTCTTTTGCTTCTGACAATCTTGATCATTAATTCATCAAGTTGGTGTTATAGGATTGAATCTCCATTCAAACTTCTTTTCTCCCATCTCAAAGATTTCTTCAAGACTTTAGAAGGTTTTTGTAAGTCCAATGATAAGCCTTTGCCCAGGTCACTTTTCATCTCTTGCTTATCATTTGTAATTCCACATAATAATAAAATAATAATATTATAATAATTTATAATGAAATATATAGCATTATAAATAATATAATAAAATTATAATAATTTCTTTATTTTCCAATGTTTCTACATCAGCTGGACTTTGTTTCATCTCTTCATCCTGTCAGTCTATAAATTCTTCCATGTTGTTCTCTTTCCCATCTTTCATTTCTTCTTTAGAATCCTCTTCAAAAAATGCATTAACAGGTGTAATAATTATTGCTGTCAGTTTAGCTATAAGTTTCTCTCCCAATTCTTCAAAAATCCTTTGAAATGTCTCAGTGTCATACCTTTATCTGTCATTTTATAAATTTTACTGGTCCTCTTTTGGTTCTGAAATAAAAGACAGGTTTTTCTCTCTCTCTTTTCTTTCTCCTGCCTGGAACTTTAGTCCCATTTCCCAAGTTCTCACTTCAGGATGGCCATCATACTTCCAAAATCATGTGGGTAGTCAGACAAAAGAACAGGAGGAAACTACTTTTCCTTCTCTTTCCTGGACTGCAAGAAGAGGAAGATTGATGAGATTGTTTAGCATATAGAAAAGAGGTAACTTATTCCTTTTCGTACTGTAGATGAGAAAGGATCCCCTGGTGATCATTCTGAACCAAAACTCTTATTCACTGGCCAGACTTTACTGTCCACAGGAGACTATAATGAAGCTTCTAAAAGATCTAGATCATATTGTTTTATCAATAATGTTTCAGTTGTGTACACTGCCAAGCAGATGCTATAAATAAGTCAAAGTCAGAATACAGGCTCTCAAAATCAGAACAGAAAATCAAAACAAGGAACATCAATTTTATAGTTTCAAAAGATTATTCTTTTACATCAGGACCTAGGATCATGCAAAGATTCAGTTTGGAGATATGATTAGAAAGCTATTCATGTGACCGGATATACCAAAAGATTTGCAATCAGTGATCTGCAACACATTGACTCACTTTGAGGCTTCAGCTCAACTTGTTTTAACATTTTGAATGGGGAAACTATTTCAAGTTGAAACAGTATAATGTATCAAGTTGCATCAAGAATGATTTGCATACTTCTCAATCTAGTCTCCCAAGGAATTACAGGCCAACAATACCTGAAGGACTATCGTCTTTCCAGTCTACAAGATTTCATCTACATGTTTATCTTGAATATTTTGCAGAGATGTTGAGTTGAAGGATGATCTTTCTCCCTCCAGACACTGTATAGAATGCTTTGTGTGTTTTTCATGAAGAGGAAATACAAGATTATGTGAGATAACTTGATGACTTGTATTTCATTGCTTTCTCCTTACCAGCTGTTCTCTTCTGTTCAGATCAGGGCTCAAAACTATAATGTAGCATTTGGGGAAAAAGATGCATGCCAGTAAGCCAACACTAGAGGACAAGATAGAGAAGATCTCCACAACCACCATGTATTTTCCCCTGGTGCTCAGGTAGGTGGGTACAACGGAGAGCCAAACACTGCAAAAGACCAACATGCTGAAGGTGATGAACTTGGCTTCATTAAAACTATCAGGTAATTTCTTGGCTAGGAAAGCCACTGTGGAGCTGAGAATGGCCAGAAAACCCATGTAAGCTAAGACAGAGTAAAACATGGTAACTGATCCTTCATTACATTCCACAATGATTTCTCCATGTAGTGAGTGCATGTCCAAATCTGGGAATGGAGGGAAAGTAAAAATCCAAAGACCACAAATTATAACTTGAACAAGGGAGCAAGAACAGACAATAAAACAGGCCAGTTTTTTTCCTACCCATTTTTGAAAAATGTTTCCTGGTTTGGAAGCCATGAAAATTGTAACCACTGTAGT